GCAAAGGTGTTTAGCTGGCTTGCCCTTTATGGATAAGCATTGCTACAAGTTAGCGCTGTCAACAGAGTCGAAAGCCGCTTTCAAGTTAAGGAAAACCACCATAGTCGGTCGTCTGTATGTGTCTCTGCTCCAAAACTTGGCGAAGGGTAAATATGTGGTTGATACAGCCACGACCAGGGCAGAAGCCAGCCTGGATTTCAGCGATTCGCTCCACACCAAGAACAGTAAGTCGTCTGAGGATGATGCTCGTGAGGGGGGAGGCAACTGAAACAAAGCTAATACCCCGATGATTTTCGCACAAAGTAAGCTGACCCTTTTTGTTCGTCGCAATTAGCCGACAATTCAGATATGTCAACTAGTTATCCGGAAAAGCACCAGACGGCCGTTTCGCCCTACTGGGGCTCATCAGTGGTGAGCATCCTTCGGTCCTCTGCGGAGGATCGAACCCATGATTGCTAGTGGCTCTTGCCGACTAGCCCGCAGCTTATGCAACTGCGCCATGGAGGACGGTATCCGACCATCATGAATTGTTAGCTAAATGCGATATAGCCCGACCCATCCTCCAATGCCATGCAGTGCATTTGGCTAACAATTCATGATGGTCGGATACCGTCCTCCATGGCGCAGTTGCATAAGCTGCGGGCTAGTTGGCAAGAGCCACTAGCAGTCATGGGTTCGATCCTCCGCAGAGGACCGAAGGATGCGCACCACTGATGTGCCCCAATAGGGCGAAACGGCCGTCTGGTGCTGTTCCGGATAGCTAGTTGACATATCTGAACTGTCGGCTGATTGCGACGAACAAAAATACTCACCAAAATCCTTCCACTCATAAGTAAGCTGGCCCTTCTTAAAGACGGGCACGACAATCGACAGTCAAGACTCGGGGTGGCTTCCACTAAGTCAACACCCTTGGGTAATCGGGTTGTATCTTGTCCTCTGACGAAACTATGGATTTCGATGTTATGTTCGCTTTTATGACTACTGTACCGTCGATTGAGTTCCATGGTTTTTGATGGCTCCTTGTATATTCGTAGACTGACGCGAAAATAATAATAATAATAATAATAATAATAAAATAAATAGAGGTGCCGAAAAGTCAAAGCACTAAGCGTGATAAAACCAGTTGGGTTGTTGTGTCCACCGAGCACTTCAGGTGATCGGTTATGTGATGAAGAAGAGTTGCGATATAGCATGTTGCACTTTCTGAGACTGCAACGTGAAGCGAAGCATGTGGTGCTGCGCAGTAAATCAGTTCCAGTGCAGGCTACCATCCCAAGGCTGCCATGCTGTCTAGCTACACTGTAAGCTTATTAACCATTCATTGAAGAGAATCTACAGTGGCGGACCGATAATGCTCGTGAAAAACGAATAAGTGAAAGTCAAACCGATCGCTGCGAAAAGCGCAACAATTGTAACATTATTGTTAGTCGAATGCTAGAAGCTCACAACACAACTTGCTGTGGTACTGTTACTTGATTTTAAGGTTCTTTAATTCTGCTGACTGTGCACCTATGTGGCCATGCCTGACACCGAAAAGAGTGCCTGAAAGAACCATTCCCAATCCAACATCTCCACAACATGAAACGTGTGCTCGTGTTATAGTGTTACGGAAGATGTCCTCCCAAATTCGCGCCAACAAGTGGGTACCCCCTATGTCTCTATTCCCGGAGCGAAATGACCATGGATGGCTCTGTGATATAGAAGCAAATGTTGGTGGTCTGAGTGTTCGCTGAGCTCGACAGTTTAGCTGCAAAGGTTTCGTCAACACCATTGTCAGCGTGCGTTTAGGTAGCAGAGCGGCGCGGTACAAAGCGTCAGTGAGTGTGAGTGATCGATCAGCTAGCTGTCAGTCTGGGTTTAGATCATTCGACGGGCACATGACCATCGAAATCGATCTCTGATGCTTGCCTCGCAGCGTACGCGCGCGTGCCGCTTCGGTTGTCATCGTCGTTTGACGCATTTGTCCGGCGTTCTGTTCCGTTAGATTTAGTCCACCAATTCAATGATTTTCCATCCGTAACACTGCATATATAGCATCTATTCTAACGCGTGGTATTTTACGGACAATTCAATAAATCGACGCGTTGAAATAGATGCTATATACGTAGCGCTACGGATGAAAGATAATGGAACTAGTGGAACGGAACAAAACGCCGGACAAATGAGTCAAACGACGACGACGACAACCGAAGAGGTACACGCGCGTACGCTACGAGGCAAGCATCAGAGCTTGATTTCGATGATCATGTGCCCATCGAACGATCCAAAACTCAGACTGACGGCTAGAAGATCGATCACTCACATTCAATGACGTTTCGTACTGCGCCGCTCTGCTAGATAAACGTGCACTGACGATGGTATCTCGGGTGGTTACGAAATGTTTGCAGCCAAACTACTGAGCTCAGCGAACACTCAGACCACTAAATGAATGACTCGGTTTGGTCCACTTTCATTTCCCTTTAGGTCGATGTGGTAGACATCCGATCACCAAAACGAGGATATAAAGATGACATGGAACTGTTATTGAAGTGTAGCACAACATGCTTTGGTCTGTTGTTTTCAGCTTCAAACTGTGAGCTACTGTTACAGAACTATACAGATTCACCAACGGTTCTTACCATTGATAAGTACTGCTGGAAGTTTTCGATCCGTGTATTTATCTGGGTAGCTACATCACCTCATAGGATTGAAGAGGGATTGCACCCATTGCCAGGGCTCGTGTATCATTTCGAAGCTCCGCCCACTTGTGAAGATGGCCGAAAATAAGTTTATTGGTTAAGGTAGTGATTTACAATTCTACATGGGGATGTGTTATTATGCGATCAGAGACCTGTTAGCCGTGTGCAGAGGACCATATGGAACTGAGCGGTGGTGACCACGGCTGCCTGTGGGAGCCTGTCGAGAGGGGATCGCGACGAACTCAATCTAAAATTACCACCTAATCCCCGTTGCTCATTAGTAATTAGAAACCCATCCGCACAACCTCTAAATGTTGCGTCGCACGAGGTCGCTAGGTAGTAGCTTCAGAGCCAACCCCTGTCCACTGCACACAGGCATGGCAGCCCAGGATGAACCGCGCTATATCGCAGTCAACTCAGTCATGCAGGTCCGCCGCCGTCACCCACGGCTTAGTGGCACACTCAGCTGGCTTACAGAAATTATGGGGGTCGAAACCCGGCAGGCGTCCGAGGAAGGCGAAACAGTGACGACACCCAGAGGGTCGAAGCAGCGCTGTCTGGTGCTTTTGCAGAAGTGTGAGAGTATGCCTGAGTAAGAGGGCACTGCGAAAAGTATATCTAAAATTACACCCAAATTCACGGTACTCATTAGAGTTAAGGGAAGCGTTTACAATGCTGTCACGTGCCCGATGTTATCTTATAGACCAGAGACCTCACAGCTTCATGCAGAGGAACAGAGTGGTCTTGACCACGGTTTCCAGTGAAGTAAAAGGGAAAACCGAGTAGACAGTGTACTGAAGTTAGTCATTTGCTATCCGTCGACAAGTCCTAGTATTGGAGTAGCTGTGGAACTGGAATCGGCTTCAGCGCGGATCGGACATGTGTGTTTCACATGCTTGCTAACCGCCTTCTTCGGCATGACCTGTTTGTAAACACCGTGTCTAGTTGAGCGATATCCAGAGTTGACCAGCAAATGACGTGGAAAAAATTATGAAAATACTACACAATACTGGAAATACAACAGTGATTTGGGCTGATGCTTCGCTGCCATACAATCACAATGGCCTGGGAAATGAGTAATAATAGCAGGGAAGGAAGAGGGAACACCTAAAGGTTCTAGGCAAACATTCAATGTCAAGACGCCTACACCTTGTGTAGACAACATACCATCACAAACAGCTGGCTATCATGCAAAGATAAGGCGGCATCAACGAGACAGCTTCCTTACGGTTTTCATTGTAGCGCGTCATAAACAACTAGTACCCGGTCGAAAACTAAACACCAAACACACACTTTAAACAGTCCGACTAAGAAACGACAACTGACGCACGACTGGTATACAGACTCCGAGCCATATCCCGTAAAGTCACAAGCCAGGGTAATCATCGCAAGAATGAGCCGGGATGATTCCTGTTATCCTCTCTCTCGGATAAGGTCCTCGGGATCGGTAACCGTCAGTGTGTTTCGACACCATGACGGATGTGACAATGTCACGAAGTGAATGACGTTCATGTATTCTTACCCTCATTCACAACCTGCATCCGCTCCACTTGATGACATTAACCCCGATTCGATCATATTTTTATTATCAATACAACAACAACAACTACTACTATTAGTACCAGTGTTAACAGTGCTTTACCAATGTCTGGAGACATAGGCCAAGGTAAATGGACCAAACACACGGACACGCGTGAATCATGGTGGAATAACTGAACTAAAAATAAGCATTTAAAGAACCTTCAACCCAGAAAAACCAGGCAATACTGAGTCACACATTGTCATCCGGACAAAAAATCGAACAGAAGGAGAGATACCGAAAAGCAATGATGATCTCCAGTTACTGGGACGAAATCAAGAGGGTAGTTATAACAAACAACCACAGTGGATCCAAAATGACTGGGTGTCGGATTGTATAATCGAATAAAGATTTCCAAAAAACTGGTGCGGAATGATAGCGTAATTGACAATGCTCAAATTACTATAATTATTCTACACATTAGCAGGAGTGAGAAACATTTCGACTATTGTGCCACAAAAAAGTAGAAAAGCATAGAAAGGAAACGGTAACGGCAAAACACCTTCATCGCGACTTCCGCTGTTATCGATTTGTAGAAGTTTATCAGGTGATATAGTGAGAATGAACGGTCGTAATGCCGATACATCAGAGTGAAAGTAGGCGAAGCCTAAGTGACAAGAATTTGATAGTATCCTGATAAAAGCGCGAGGTGAGGACGAGCAATATACGAGTATGGAAAACAAAACAAACCAATCGATATTAGGAGTAAACGATAGCAGAGATAAGTGCAAAATATAACTCACCGGAAGTGGGGTGGTGCCTGGTAGGCGCAGTCGGTTGAACTGACGGACCAAATAAGACAGTAAAGCGAGAGCAATAGATATGACGAAATTGGGTAACGGTGTTATGAGACCAGCTGATATTTAGTATGTGCTTAGTTATACTAATAAATAAGAATGCAAATAGGCAGGCAAGAAAATAGGCGAAGCATTAGGGTAGATTCCGAATGTAGCGCATAAAATGGGTGACCAGTGGCTAGCTGGTAAAGGATTTGCGGAAAGCCATTGAACAAAAAGCGGCAATATTTTCGGTTCCGGCAAAGAAAAAAACCACTTCCTGTGCTGAGAAGCAGCGATGAAAAGTGAAGTAGAAACTAAATTAGTCAAATATATAAGATAATGGAGCAACGAACAGACGAAAAGTCTGATTAGTGAGTAATAGGGGGGTTTAGTGGATCTTGGTGAGGCCTCGTCGCAGTTACACTCAACCAGACAGCCATCACACATCCAATAAAGTGCCGTTTCGTTCCATTGGGACTCGTCAATAGGGTGCACCCGCTGAATCCTGACAGATTCGAACCCAGGACCTTATGATTCCGAGCCAGCGACTTACGCAACTGAGGCAACCATGACTGATGTCTAACTGCGATAGATCGCGGTTCATGCTCCACTGTCAAGCATGATATCAAGGTGGAGAGAACAAGGCTGGCCCACAAAGCAACTCTCATCATTTGTGTTGAAACGAGCGACAACCAAGATGCCAATACCGTTAAGCCTTCTGGTTGCTCATTGACAGTTTCGGGATTCTTGTCACAACAAGTCTAGGTCAAGTAAAACTGGGAGTCGTTCTCAACTCGAGATTTGCTTCGTTGGCTGAGTGGATTTCCGTGACCCACCACCAACAGTGTGTAACCAGTTTCCCAGTGCCAACGACGGTCAGAAAGCAGGGAGTGGTGAAAAACGCAGTTTGTTCGGATCTCAGTAGAGCTCTCATGCAACGCAGTTGGCACCTAGCCATCAGTTCAGATACAGTACCATTGATGGAGGGCATGAATGTGTAGGCACATCCGCGAAGCTCTTTAGCAGCGCGGCTAATTGCAAATCTAGGGATTATTTCCGAACGCACAAAGCGCCGGAGTGTTGGTTGGAGCTTAGCATTAATTAATTCTAGGTAGCAATGTTTTCGGTTACAGGTAACGCCGATGTGTAGCTGCTTGACGTCTACCGACAACTAGCCAGATCGACTAGATAATCGTCATAAAGGGCGTGGTTTCATCCTTGCTTGGCATCAGTAGTGGAATGTGTTTTTCGATGATAATCACTCCCTGGTATGCTTCCAGGAATAGCAGCATAGCATATGCAGGTTGGTAACGGAATTGTCCCAAAAGACAGCCGAGTAGATTTACCAGGAATAACTGTGCACGGTGCGTTCACATTTTTCCATGAGGATGTCGTGGTTCATCAAATGCGCCAAAAGATCAGAGGACCATTGCAAGCGACACCACCGGTTGTTATCGCACAGGACTCTGTGCATCCGAAAATTCACTGATTGTGTTGTTATTGATAATAAGGATTTCTATTGACTCGAAGCATTCTGCTACCAGCCACTTTATCAGGCCCAAGTTATAACGGAGAAGCGAGCTAAGAGGGGAAACTTGAAGGTACAGAGCATCCAGAGAATAAAGGGGATAGGAGAGGCATGTTATTACTGGAAACTCTTCCAACTAAACTACATGAGTCGTAGAAAATTATCCATCAGTGAAAAACCATAGACAGCATCGGTGCCCGTTTCGCAGTGAGGAATGCCATCTGGCTCATTAAAAGGTGGCACAATGAGAAAGGTTTCTGCCGCGCGCAAGTTGAACCAGTTCAGGTAATCACAATGATTAAGCAGAAGCTGCTTGAAACGCGAACACAGCCCAGTACTGTTCCGCGCCTCCTGCTCAAATTCAGCTACCTATGCAACTCATGCGTAGCCGACCTCAGTGGCGTTCCTGCTGTGAGTTTCTTTGTCCCTCCCCATCCCTTGTAACCTCCTCCTCCACCTACGACATCATTGCATAGTGTAAAACATAATAATTTTACTTTTTGCTTAGTAGCCGGCTGGTAGCTTACCGGAACGATGCCTATCCGTTGCTGGCAGCTCAGCTGGCATGCAACTGTTGTATTTATTTTCCTTTTCTTTAATGTATTGCGGCACAGTAGCTGAGATGTTTCCCACCTCTAGATGACGTGTATAACGATGGTGCAGCTCATGCGTAGCAGCGATATCTATAAAAATGACCCACCGGCTAGAACAGGTGTAGAAAGATAGGGCTGTCCAAATGAACCATGGCGAACCGGTTAAACTGAGAAGAGTCACGTAGGGCGGCCAACCGGATTGATTCTTACCTCCTACACCGCGTAGAAGGACGCGGGGCGATTAAGTCAGCATTCTGACAAGCAGTAGGGCAACGTTCCAAATACAGAAAGTTGACAATAGCTCCATATTCTGTGCCCCGGAATTAGGTGAGTGTATGGATCAATGGGTCGCTACTTTCTAGTCGATAGCCGGACCATGGACGAAATGACCACAGGTTTGTCAGCCTTGTAATCCGGAGGTTGCGGGAACCGGGCGACCTTTGTAGTATCCTTAATCCTCGCGCGACTGATGTAGGTCGCGCGGCTGCAGTGTCGATACAGCGGACCGGCGTACTGCTGATGCTATTTTTCTTTTCGACACACTTCACATAAAACATGGGGAACATTATATGCGCGAAGTGCTTGAACATTTCGGATCGCGTTAGGGTCTAGGGCGAATTGTCGGGCGCCCTTCCGACAACAAGTGGCACTGGCCAGGTATGTTCTATTTTCCAACGTTTACTAAACTTTCTGCTGGGTTCTGTAACGGAGCACCCTCTTGCAGAATCTAACGACGCAAGTATTTATATGCGGTCTGGGGAGAAACAGGGTGGCTTGGGTTGCGCGGCCGATAATGTCTTGCTGTTTGACAAACCTAAGACGACACAGTAAAGCCTGGATGGACTCTCAGAAGTTCGCCCATCTTTTTGAGTAGCCCTAGAAATTACGAAATAAAATAAATGCTGCGGCACAATAAGTCACCTGGTTCTATCATCTCAATTGCCTCTGTTGTCCTCTACGGAGATACTAGCGCCTGTAAAAGCCAACTTCGTGAAGAGCAAGCCTGGTTTCGTCGTAATTGAACCGACAATGATCACAACATTCTTTTGTACCAGGTACTGGAGCATCACCACGTTTATTGACGACCCAAACGTAATCGGGTTCCTCGACATCAAAGGTGCCTTCGATTCAGTAGATAGATGCGCTCCTTCGGACTGCTTTATTAGGGCAGGTGTCCGATAAATACATAAATATTAGCTGAGTGTTTTACGCGTGCAGTTCGTATAGACTGAAGATATGCGACAAACTGTCACTACACTTCAATATTTCTAGCGGTCTGAGACACAGATGCTCGCCGTCGTTTTTCCTTTTAACTTCGCTGATAACGACGCTATGGAAACCGTGTTTACTGGTCACGAATTAGAAGGCGTGAAGTTGCTTACAAGTAAGCGATTTCTTGAGTCGGAGTATTCCGACGACACTGCTCTAGTCTGTGGCAACTCACAAACGTGTCAAGCAGTACTAGATAAATTAGCACTGTCTGTGCTGTGGACCCTCAAATACAAAGTTTTCCTCTAACATTGACGGGGATCCCACCTGCGCTGACCCGTTGTGAAGATGAGCTATAAGTCGTGCATGAATTCAACTACCTAGGCAGGCATAGAAAAGAAGGCGAAAGCTCGTGGATATATTGTTCAACTTCGTGAGTTGTGGTGCCATCGCGTCCGCTCCGTACGGCAGAGTCTGCAATGGGATCGTAGGTTCAACCTTAAATTAATGCTGTGGAACTTGGTCCCCCAGATCGAGAAGTAAAGTAGGCTAATTACGTTCGATCACTAGTGCCTTCACAGTTTCGATCATCTCTGGTGGGGACACCACGGGAACAATGAGTGCATTCATAGTTTTGTTTATGGTGCAGGAAAAGCAAGTTAACCGCTACGCGCCGTTACTTTTCGCACCAAGCTCCAATGGCTGGGCATGGCTGACATGTCAGCACACTGACTACCGTGAAGTACTTTGTTGGTTACCGGGGTGTGAATATGCGATATGTGTGGCACCAAAGAGAATTTGCTCGACTTGGCAGGAAGTGTGTACAAGGCTGTACTGAGGGTCGCTCGTTGTTTGCGGGAATCACAATGGACTTGTTCGATCGGAGGAATAGAGAAGCTGCTCCTGTTTGGTCATTGTTGCTTGTGTAGAAATGTTGGCAACATGTGTGTTTATTCATGCACTGTGCCACTCCGATTAAGTGTATGACTCGGAATCTGCGCCCCCCGCTTCAGAAATTAGCCTCGAGTGATGTGAGCCATAAAGATCCAGCAACCGTCCGTAAAGGGGTGTCTAAAGGGAGTTCCTCCGTCCTCCAACCACTGAGGTTCGTGCATGGATATGGCTCCGTAGACACCTCTGCCAGTCCGCAGCCTTTAGGATCATAAGCCTGCCTTATACTCTGAGGGCTTGGGTTCGAGTCTGCGTAGGGACCGGGTGACCCACGCAGTATCCTTTAGCCCACGTGCAACCAGTGGTGATTGCGCAGCAGCGAAGTGTTGGTACTGCATACCGACGTACCGCCGATGCCTTTGAGAAGTGCGATTCAACAAAAGTCAATGGGAAGCAGGGGTGCACAAACGATTGTCGATGGACAACCAATGCAGGTCAACGGAAGCGTACAGGCCACTGCATTGCGACAATACCTAGGTACGGAGCGATGATGACATTTCCTAGTGTGAATAGCTGCTGGCGCCGCCACGTATGATGCAGCCGAGACCACCGAATGAGATGCTAGCAAATTTTCGGGGTTTTCTGCGGATACCGTCCCAGTGATCGGAATAATCAAGGTACGCGTGCCATAAATCAATCACATGGCAGCTACCTTTAATGAGATGCGAACATGTTAACTTTGCCGATAAGTTTAGAGCTTAATTGTGCTGAACAGCTGCAGCGAATCGTCACTGCAACATACAGTAGCAACAGCAGCTCCAAATCATTCCAGCTGGTCTTACGGCTACCATTGAAGCTACCTTTGAATTTTGAGCGGAGGGACGCCCGTAAACTGCCTGACTCCCAACATGGTATGTTGGATGACTGAAATGTAAACATCGAAAGACTCAGTATGGGTGATTCGGAGGGTCAACAGAGAAACTCGATCCCGAGATCTGAAAAATACACTGGGATCAGCACAACAAGCAAATGTGTGATTTATCGAGCGGAGACCGACTCCAGGACAGCGCCTAATAAACGCGATACAGACACTTCATGGACTGAGTGATGACAATGAATGATAAACCAACTTATATGTGATTAGGGGAAAGAGGCCCTCTGAACTGAAGCGAACACAGCTGGCTACCATGACAAACAAGACACTTGGGGTGGTGTAGTAGCCACGAATTGAATTCCATACGAAAGAAAGAGGAAATATGCCCTGGACTCCACAATCGGATCAAGTGAGTATAGCCAAAAGCTGTGATTTCATGCTGAATTAACAAGTAAGGAGAGAAAGAACATGGTTTACCAGTTCCAAACCATTGGCCGAATGGGACAAGGTATCTTCCAAGCTGACTTGACGACGTCGAAGGTACATTGTCTGTGCAGCACGAACTTCATCCAACACATTCTGTTCCGTGGAATTGGAATGGGGAATAGAAGAGCGAGTGCCTCCGGGTCGAGCGCGGCTACGGGAAGACGTTCCGGATGCAGATGGAGACACAGCAAGAGCCCTTCTTCCAGAGGCGTTAGTGCGTCGGGAAGATTCACGGCGATCGGTCACAGTGGGTGTGGTTGTTGATGAGCCGCAAGGATTCTCGGCGTTAGGTGAGTTGGTAGGACTTTGTTCGGCATTCCCGTTCGGTTCTGTCTCCTCGTGAACCGCTTCATCTAATTGAACGGTGGAAGTAGAGAGAGAAAGAATGCGATACGCCTAACTCAAGAATGCTAATTGGGGATCTCGGAGCTAACATTATCGGAATCAGTAGGTTTTCTGGATAGAAAAAGTCTTTTCGAATGTAAATTCACTCACACAAAACAAGAGAGATGGACCAATTAACAAGTTCATCACCGGAAAATACGGGGTGCATAATGTTAAGCTTTTATGAAGATGACAACCAAATAGACGACAAGCGGCTTGAACCGGTAGACATAGTACGATGGAACCAGGTCTCGTCACGTTGTTACGAAGACCGAGCGAAAAAAAACAATAGGCAAATGGTAAATAGAGTCTTCGTGTGACGAAAAGGACGGAACTGCAATTGCACAGAGGAGACTTATTCCAGTCACTCATGTTGAGGCAGACCCTATACCTTATTCCGCGATGAGACGGGTGAAGATCGCCTGAGTTGAATTCGGTGAACCAACCATCAACAGAGCGCCGGACGATGGATAAATGCAATTGCTATTATCCAGATGATCATGATAAAACGAACGAGCAAAAGAGAAAAGGAATATAAGGATAAGGGGTGAGAAGTGAACAGAACAAGAGAGAATTATACAGATCACGTGAGTGAGCCAAGTCCGATGGGGTGTCTAAACGCTGTGATGTGCGTGACTTCAAGACACGCATTCAAAGAGACTGGAGCTATCACCAATGCAACTAAGTCGAAAGGCTACATTCTCCGCAACACCGTTACGCTGAGGTGCCCCAGTTGTGATGCAGGCAGATACACGCTATCCATTTCCGGAGTTGCCTATCACTGCGGCCTCCATAGAACAGCCACAGGACTCTTGCGCCTACAGAGGGACCATGGGTGGTTTGCGCTGCACCACACACCGCATAGCCAGTGTAAACCCGAAGGAATAAGACAGGAAGGCATGTGGATGGGAGCCAGGTTTCATCAATGGAGCCCGCCCACACCCTTCCAACAAGCACAGCAGAAGCATACATGACTAAATGGGGAATCATGCGTACCAGAGGTACACAAGGCGGTAGCTGGGCCGTGGGCAGTCCACACTGGATGCATTAAACCATTCTTTAAGCGTAACACGACCACGAGAACCGTGCACCAGGTCTCCTCCAGCAAGGACCAACTGTCTCCTGGAGCCAGTATAGGGGAGGTAGTGTGTACTAGGCGGGTAGACAGTTTGTCAACATTCATATCTAGCGCAACCACACCGGGGATATCAATCAACAGCCAACTCCTGAAATGCAAAAAGCTCAACACGCAGGCACAACCTCAGACTATCTGAAATGACGATGCGGCAGACGTACCACATCAACAGCATAATTGAGCTGAATTAGTAAATGGAATCGGAAGCTGCGAAATTACCAAGCGCCGCGCTGACAACACATATGGCACAGTTGTCTTAGATGTTGACCCAAAGTGAAGACGCTGGCAACTTGCTGCACCCGCTTGGCTAAGACAATCACGACCGCGTGTACTATAGCACAATGTACTCGAAGTTGATGGGCTATCCACCATCGATGCCTGTAGCTTTCTCAACCGAAGTTTCTTTTCCGCATGCAGTAATGATTTCTCTTGCATCTGGGCAACTGCCCTCTGGATTTGTAAACAGATCAGTCGCCTTTAATTCGCAACACCTATAGTAAATATTCGTACGTGAAAGGCTTACCTTGATCATGTGCTGGTAAGTTGACTTCGGTTTTCCCACGTGCGGATTCCGTGCACCCAATTAGTCATAGAACAGCTGTTTCGGTATCCGGGTCGAATCCATGCGGAGAATATGCCCAAACCACCACAAGTGCCTCAGCAAAAGTATGCAGCCCACTGCAAACATCCCACTGGGGCGCAGCACTACCGCGTCTGCAACTCCGTCACTTCGACCGATGCGCAGAATCCGTCGCCCACACTGTTGAAGGAAGCGCTCCAGATAACGGATATCTTTGCGATTCATGGTACAGGTTTTGCTACCGTATAGCACCATGGAGTTGTACACCAGTAACCTTGTTCCACACACAACATCACAGCTTGCCAAATGCAGTAGCCGTCTTCGATACGCGGCTGCGTGTCTCGCGCGTAATTTGTAGACGGTTGTTAGTAGAATGCTAAGGAAGCAAAATCTCGCAGTGATTTCCAAAAATTCGTCGGCAACCTGGATTTGGAGCACGCTCACGGACTTAATTCCGAGTGAAGACTGAAAAAGACCCAGCCTTGCCTATATTAGTGGTGAGCCCGAATTTGGCCGCTGTCGAAGCCAGAGCACTAGTCATGTGCTGCAACTCATCCGCGCTGTGTGCGAATAACGCACAGTCGTCAGCAAACAGCAATATACGGATTGGAAGGTCAAGTTTGGATTACACGTTGTGTGATTGGATTGCGACACGCAACCTCAATGTAATGGACTGTGATTCACATTGAAATGAACCTTAGTCACTGCGATCACGGGGACTGTATTCAAAGGAGATGGAAATTGGGTGTTGCCCACCCGAAAACACTGCACAACCAATATACGGATAGTTGTCTCACACACCAGGCTTCTCGGCCCGACACGACGGATGTTCAACAATCCACCATCAATGCAGTGTTCCACACGGACACTGTAAGAACAAGCAGCATCAAAAGCGCAAGACAGCATTGCATGAAGATATATATTAAACAGGGCAGGAGCTAAGACACAGCCTTGCTTCACATCAGAGACAACAATAAACTCATCCGAGGTTTGTCTACACAGCTGCACCCTCGCCCACATACCACTGTGCAGACATTCAATTAAACTTACAAACTTACGCGGACAACCAATCTTACCTAACACCAGCCACAATGTCTCGCGGCTCACCGTATCAAATGCTTTAGAGAAGTCAATAAATAGCAAGTACAATGGCTGGTGTGGTTGTCTGCATTTCTCCTGTAGCTAACGAGCCGCGAACCCCATGTCGATGGTGCTGCGACCCGAACGGAATCCACCTTGTTAATCCGCCACGTTCGGTTCAACGACTTGAGTGAGGAGGCAGCTGAGCAGGATTCGGGCAATCACCTTGCCACACAAATCAGCAAGTTGGTGTCACGATAATGCTTACAACATTGCTTGCTCCCTTTGCGCTTGTACAGTGGTAGCACAAGGGCATCCTTCAGCTCCGGAGGCGCCTTCTCCTCAATTCATATGCGTCGCACCAAGCGGTGCAGTGCATTCACTGACGCGGTTCCGCCCCGTTTCAATACTTCAGGCGGTATCCCGTCGGCACCGGCACACATGCCGCTTCGCAGCTGAGCAAGTGCTCTCTGCGTCTCATCCAGTGTCGGTGGGTCAGCAAGACACGCATTCATCTCTGGTTGTTGCAGACCGTGCAACGCAGACCACCCAATCTCTGAAAGGTTGTTCAAGAGATAATCAAAGTGTTTTCGCTAGATCTGCATAATGCCCGCAGTCTGTGTGCAGGCAGCGCCAAAACTACCATTGAGCAGCGTCCTCAGAAACTCCAACCTCGATCCATACACCACTTTCAAGGAGTCAAAGAATTCTTTGTGTTCATGGCATCCAGCGTAGCACACCAACTGCTTCGCCGTCGCCGTCCACCATGCATTTTTAATTCGACGGAGCTCTCGAGTCAGTCGCCGTCGAATTTTGCAAAACTGACTCTTCTTCCCCAAGACACTCGGATCTGCCACATGCGCAGCAAATGCTGCACATAAGACACCAATGCGCCAATCGTCGCACTGTTCACATCAATCCAGTCAGGCCGCTTACAGTTTGCGCGCCCGATGGTCTTCTCGGCAGCAAATGTCACCTGGTCGCGGATGTGGTGCCACAGGTCGCCCACTGTGGCTAAGCATTCCACATCACACAGGCGTGCAGCCATCGCCTTCTCCAACTCAATACGTTTCGCTACAGTACCGAGAGAGGTTAAATTTACGCCTCCGGTTCACGGCAGACACACAGTTCAAACTATTACACACGCACATATACAATTTGGTCCGCACCAATTTGTGATCAGTTCCACACTCAGTTCCACGCATATCATGCGAACGCAGGATGACAGTCAAGCAGGTGCGTCCAAGTTGCTATATCACGCGTCAGTGCAAACCGTGTGTTCGTGATCATAAGGCCGTGAGCGACACAGTGGGAGCAGCCCGTCACTGTTCTTATTCGCTGAACCAATGCCATGTGGACCGATAACATCTGTCCACACCGATGCATCACACCCAACGCGCACGTTGAAATCACCTAGCAGAAACAGTTGGTCGCTCTTCGGCACATACCGTATCATAGAGGGTAACAGTGTAGTATTGATCACGCATGTCAACAGGATAACACATGGTCGGACCACACGTGCTAATAAAAGTGGCAAACTTACCTCTTCCGAGTCGTATGCGAACAGTCATCGGTCACGAGCTGACGCCAGTGGGCTTACCGACCAAAAGGCCATTTAAGCGATCGGATAAGGCAAATCCCACCCATGTTCCCGTGGTGCTGAGGTGGCGTTTCCCACCTAGTAGAACGTATCGCCGGCACCAGCTCCATGCAACTTACATTGCTCTGCGAGCCCGGGTGTGGCTGAGCGCCGCAATATCCAGGTAGTGCGCCAGGGATGTGGGATATCTCGAGCGGTTCCATCAGTAATGTTTGCGACGGTTTTTGAGCATCGGTTGGGGCGACAGAGTTGCTGACACGGAAGCGTTGCGACAAAGTGGAATAAATGCAGTGGACTGCATACTTTCGCTGAGACATTTGAGGTGGCTCAGTCATGTGAGTCATATGGATTCCACATCATCATCATCATCATAAACGTTAGTTAGAGGTGGGTAACACGTCAGCTACAGTGCCGCAATACATAGAAAAAAGGAGAAAAAAGCAACTGGTGTAAGCCGGCTGATCTACCGGTAACGGATGGGCATCGTTCCGGTAAGCTACAAGCCGACTACTGTGCATCAAAAAGAATAACTAAGCAAAATCATATATATATATATATATATATATATATATAT